TATCGCAGCATGTTGAGATCAAGGCAACTTACAATATTGGTGACATGAAGAGAGACTTCGAACTTGCTGCATGCGTTGAAGAAAAAAATTTGAGCCGGTGTGTTAACCTAGTAAATCCGGCAAGTATGAACATACGTTCGGATCCAAGAAATCTCGTCAATTGCAGCACCACTTTTAGCTATTCCAGGACTAAGCTGATTAGCAGGAAAGCATGCACGCGCTAAAAATGGCATTGCTATCTTGCCCTTGACCTAGCGCCTCTGAAGGCAGCGTTCAGGATCCAGACACATAGGAAGCGCACGTAGGAACTGACTTTAGAAGCCTAGCTATGACAATGTTAAAGAGATAGCGCAGTGGTGCCCTCGAGCTAATCGTTCGAAAATCACACTTCGTTACCTATTTAATGCAGGACTTGCATGCTGTTGTTCCTCGAAGATCCAGCACCCTCTTAATGGCTTCCTGCACAAAATGCTGCAAGCCGATGAAAATCGATCGCTGATACGGTAGGTGGGATAGGTAGCTAGAAAGCAAAGGTGGCCCTCAAAGCAACAGTGCTTACAAGTAGAATGCGCACAAAAGTGCAGCTACCTTAGCAGAATCTGTTACAAAAGAGTACAAACACGCAAAACTGACGGCTGACGGAAAAAATTTGCGGACCCAGACAATTCGCGCAAAACGTTCTCTAGAACTGTAGAAGATGCAGACATTGCCAATCTTTCGGAATTTCTATGTAATCATAGTTGTAATACCATTCGAGTTCATACTTTGTAAGCACATCATTGCGGATGATAAACAAGAAAAAAGCGACATCTATAATGACAATACTGTTAGCGAAAGTCTTTGGATCCTCTAGTGATTCAACGCAGTCATCGATGCTGTGAGCATGTTTTGATGCTGAGGCAAAATGTTGGAGCATTCGTCTGAACTACAATAATTCATGTTCTTCATAGGAACATAGAAGAAAGGTTACATGAAGGGGTACAACTTACCTTGGTGAACAGTGGATGCCTCAAAGACGCTTCGCACCAAATTTTAACACATTCTGAAAAATCAAAAAATAGCGTGAGATACGAGTCAATGCGCTTTCGTCGAGTCGTCGACCGGAAGGACTGGCCGTAGTTTGCGGAACACACAAGGCTGAATTCTCAGACACTTGCACCGGCCGGCGGCCGTTCCACGACCGGCCGGTCCGTCACCGACATTTCGGCCGGAACGATCGCCAGCCGGTCGCCAGCCGGTACTCGAACGGCCGCCGGCCGGTACCCGTACGGCCGCCAGCCGGCATGCGTCAGTGGCGCAACAAGATAGCACTGGGCCACAGTATTTTTCTTCTCTATCTAGCTTTCATTCAGCTCTGTAACCTTAATATGGGGTGGTGCGAATATATAGTACAATGCAAAGAGACACTGAACAAACAACAAACATTGACACATTTTACACATATGCATGAAAAATACATTCAAAACTAAAAAGCAAGTGACTTCCCATATATACACAAAACTAAGAAGTAAGCTTTCCATATATACGATAAAATCATTTGATGCAACTGGTTCACATATCGTTGGACAACCTTTCCGAATTGGCTAGAAGGTTACATGATTTTGTTTTGTGTACTTCTGAATGCCACATTCAACCGTTGATAAGCCGCATCCGATGACTTGTAATTGAAATAAACTATTGACAATTTTTGACTTATACTAGAACTTACAGCTATGCATAGAGTAGCGATAGGTCTATTAGCAGAGCATTATCAAAACATAAGCGTTCACAGGGGATGGTTAGAATGATCGTATCGGTCCCTAGAAAACAATGAGTAATTTCGATCAAATGTTAGTCAGGGAAAACTTACATCTTTTGGAGTGCTTCGAGCAGCCGTAAGCATCGGGTTAGCAGAAATGCGGTAGTATATCACATAGTGACTTACCAGAAACCAACAGATCGACGATCTTCGGATGAATTAGAATACTCAGCAAATTAGGAATAGTCCACCATTCGCAGCATTGAGGATTATATAAAGGAGCCTTCATTGGCCATACTCGTATTCACGATTAACAATGTTTCGTAATCACGAACACTGTTAAACTGATAGCGATCAACCATTCATTGTATCCATCATAAAAGCAAGAACCCGAACACAATGTATGCAGCTGTCTCCTAAAAAAGCTTGTGGACGTGTCTAGTTTGTACTTCCTTAGTCCGTACCCAAAAGGTGTTGCGACACTTACCTAGAATTCACGTCACAGCAAATAGGCATGAACTCATTGACGTTCGGCTCTTTCGCTATTCAAGTCAAAATAAGCAACAATGTAGAAAGAAAAGATAACAACCACTATAGACAGCATCATAGAGTTTGATCAAATCTGAAAAGAAATGGATGAAATGAACGGAATCATAATAATGGGATACATCAACTATCATCGGACAAAGAAAGTGACACAACCGAAGTAGAAATGTAATGTGCTTTGCTAAGTATCACATGCACGGACAGCGGATTTTACGTGTACATAACGAGTAGCAGCGAGTGACATTGAATACGACGAAAACTAATTATCAAGACAAGAGAAGAAACCTACAAAAAACCCTCGAAGAAAACTGGACTCGTTGGAAAGCTTGTGTATTTTCAATTAGGCAATGTTAAATTGAATATCGTTTTTATTATACGTTTTATGTGACCGCGTATGTTTGCATCCATTAGTAGAAACATATATAAAAGACTGTAGGAAGCCTTTAGTGTTGGTTGTGCATTTGTGTGTCGAACTTATACTCTTTCTCTCATCCTTACTCGATGTAGTTTTCTAAGCTCTTTCCCAAACTCTTTTAGCCTTGTCTGGTAGTTTCATAGTTAACAATTTCTACTAGTATTTATCCGGTATCGGCCACAATGATTTACCGCCGCTGGCCGACGGCTTAGGTACGATCTTCTGTAATTTATCCATATTAGTTAGAGAGGTCACTTGCGTTTTGTTCGATCACATGGTTTGTCTCCTTGCTAATAAATAGTTGTTGGGAACTGACTTCGTTAAGGCCGGCGAATACCAATCACCCTATGTAAGACATTTCCATCAATCTCAGCACTAGCTGCTCTGCGGAACCATGCCGAGCCTTACAGAAAACCCCAACAATAACAAAAGAAAATTGATAGAGAGAAGTTTTCTGCTCAGCAGACACGACGCGCCCAATGTTTGAAATTATTTTCTGTACGCGCAATCTTGTGCGCTTTCCGAGCTTTTGCACAATGGAACGGCCGCGGGCCGGCGTTACTTACTAGTCCGGTGGCCGGCCGGCGTTTGGCTCCGCCCAAAATAATGGAACGGCAGCCGGCCGGAAGGCCGTCGTCGAACGGTCGCCGGCCGGTGCGAGTGTCTGAGTTGCCATGAGAACACAGTTTAAACGATAGCGTTGTACTGGTGCAAGGGTTTGGCGACGCGGCGCGCGCTTCGCAATCTGCGACCAGTCAGTGCGATTAACAACTCGACCAGCCGTCCTCGTGACAACGCACTGGCCCCGTACTTTAAGGCCCGTATGCACGTACATCCCCGATGGGGAGGGCGAGGAGCGGATGCGTCATACCTCGCTTCCATACGCATCTTTCTTCATCTTTCTCTATCTTGCTTACTAGCTGGCTTACGCTTCGCCCGGCCCTGTCAAAATGATAAAGATCCCATACCTATCCCTGTGCAATCTTTCCTTCCCACTCCTACATGCCAATTCCCTATCCCGTATTCTCGAAATCAGCGTGCCCACTTATCCCTCTCCCCCCCCCCCCTGTGTCAAATCCCGACCCCGTAGCTCAAAGGCACCGTCCACCCTAAGTTGAGGGTGTTGAGTTTTTGGCAGCATATAATAGTAGGGTCAATCCAATGCCCAAGTCGCGGCGCAAAATGCCGCTTCGGAAGCGAGAAAATCGCTTCGAAATAGCGAAGATGCACGAGGACCCCCATCCATGCCCGCCCTCCCTCATCCATGCCCGCCCTCCCTCATCCATGCCCGCCCATTTGTGCGCGCCCATCCAATCACCGTTCCGGAAAGCCGGCCTGTGGGTTCTGTGGGGAAGTCGAAAGTCTGGGTGGACGGTGCCTTTAAACGTTGCAGAAAACCGATAGACTCGTTAAAAGTAATGGATGAATCCAAGAACTAATATTGTACTCGTCATCAGCGTGCTCGATTACCTCCCTGTGCAAACTCCCAGTCCTGTAGTGAACTCTGCAAAGAAATCGATAAAAATCGATAAAATCGATATCAATCGATGAAAAAGTAGCCTATGACACCCGCCGGGGTCCGAAGTGTATGTGTACCAAGTTTGGTCCGGATCGGTCCAGAAATGGAGTTTTCTATTCGGAACATACGTACAGACAGACAGACATACAGACAGACATATAAACAGATATTCAGCTTTATACAAATGAAGGTTTATACCCCGGCGCCCAAAAGTGCTCAAAAGCGCCCAAAAGCGCCCAAATTTATCTAATCTCTCTCATCTCTCCTTACACAAGCGGTCTGGCCAGGGCCTTATGTGTAGGTATTAGGGTATGAGAACCTTCATATGCAAGATAGAGAAGGAAGAAGAAGGATACCCAGAGTGGGGAGATATGAAGCATCCCCTTTCAGATCCTCTACCCTCCCCAGCAAGGAACGTACGTAAATACGGGCCTGAGAGTGCACGATACGCAGCCGAAAAGAAGCTAAAGACAAAAATAAACGAGATGACATTTGCCATTAAGGTACCGGAGAAGAAAAGGAAAAGGCGTAGTTTCACACTTACACAATACCATGATTACAAGTAGTAACAGAAACATATACATAAACATAGGATTGGTACATTCTCACCTGATAAGAATATGAAGTCATAGTCACGGGCAATCTCTTTCATGGCCAGACTGAATATGAAATCGCAAACACTTCTGTGCCAATCAGCGAAATCCTAAAGAAAGCAACGATATGTAGCTTAAACATCTGAGATGCGTGGGTGAGCTAACTTTAGGTCCATGGTGGGAAGATCTTCAATATTGGGGCTGTTCCTTACATAGACTGCGATATGTTTGTCGTCGTTTGCCTGTAGTACTTGCAGGATTGGGAGAAACAGTCTCAAATCTTATGCTCATCGTGAAAACATACCTTTGTAGATGCATGTAAAAGCCGTCGTAGAAGCATAATAGCATAAACTCCCGTAGAAGAAAAAATCGAAAGCTCGATGTCTAGCAAAAGACGAAAATCCAAAAAGACTGTCTCAAACGCAGGATATTGCCTTGAGAACTCCAAAGAAAGCAAAAGCAACTATCTTACCTCGATAGAGATGATCTCCCGAAAAATTGAATAGACTCCACTTGATAGCCATCGTACTGAGACCTTGACAACATAGTATTGATATGGGCATCACCTATAAACATTAGTATTTTAGCAAACTGAAAAATAGGTCCAAAACAAAACAAAACGCTAATTCTCAGTAAATTGGGAAATTAGATGATTTTGCATAAATTCCTTTCTGCTATTCCCTGAGATTAGATCACATGTCGTCGCCAAACTCTAAAACAATAACACAGCCCAGGCAGACTCACGGATTATCTGGAACTTTCAGTCCCGTGTAGAGATTTTCCACGCTGGAACATTTACTCAACAACTGAAACCCGTACACCGAATGAGCTTCCGCAGTTATCGACAGCGAATGCTTCGGAAAGTTTGATTTCTGAAGAAATATAAGCTTGAAATAAGATTTCAAAACTTGTATGAGTTAGGTTGACGAGTAAAGGATACTGAGTCGCACTGACGACTACCAAGAAGATAACCCATATCCCTTGCTGAACTCCAGTGCAACTCGGTATCCTTTGCTTGTGAGATATATGAAACTTACTCACCAAGAGAAGATCCATATCAACATTGTGCTACACAAGCTCTTCCAAGTTCGGCAATGTACACTGCAGTATCCTTTGCCCACCCTAAATATCATTTCCGATCTCATGTAATTAGGGAATGAACGAAAGCAGTACCGTAATTTCCCCAAGATCTGATTTGATAACTTTATCTTGAGCATAGCTACTTCAAGTTTCTTAAGCTGCCTTCAAAGTTGCCGGTACCAGCGCCGTGCCAGGGTTTCAATCAATTATACGAGGCGCATCTAACAAAGAAAGGTTGGTTAGTCAAAGGCGTATTGATACGAGATGCTTTAAGGGGCATGAAAGCTGATTCCACTTCTGTCCTTATCTGCTGCGGTTCCAGAGCGAGGAGTTATGCAGATCTTTCTGAGCAGGAATTTGAATGCGCAGCTAGAATAAAATTAGTCTGAACATTTTTCTAGAGCTTAAATGGTAGGCTACCCTAAGCAATAAATATTCTCAGTCATTCATTATTCACTCGCCGCTTCCTCATTTACGCTTTAGAAAGAGATGAGGACTATTTTCATACAAATCATGGCATTTGAATTCTTGCTCAAATCTTCATAACTCCTCGCACAGGAACCCGCAGCAGATAATGAAGGCAAGTTTGATATTAGTGTTACATGCCCTTCAAAGCAGTAAGCATCTTATACTAGAAGGCCACTTTGACTAACCTCTTAGTGCTAACACAGCGCTGGCAGAGCGCTAACCAACACACGGGTGACTCTCAATGCTGCCTGAACTTCTTACCACCCTGTTTTGCTCTGTGTCAGCCCATTTGCAAAAAAACTAAGTTGCTAAATCGAGATTGTTCTCAAGACAGTAATCATTTAGAAAAAGTCGTACCCATTGGAGTGTAGCATAAAGAGATCTCGTACCTTCTCGCGCAAAAACAGAGGACATTGTGGGATCCTCAGATTAGGTATGGAACCAACCCAAGGCTGAAGGCGTGAAATCCCAACTTCAGATTGGAGCTCCCAGTTTTGCGAGGGTTGAAGTCGTCTAACCCGACCAAAGCTCTCACCAGCTTCCGATCTACCGTCACCCTCCACAAACGTGCGCATAAATGGATTCTGTAATTTTTGTACAACATTATTTTAGTTCAAAAATGGCCAGTATGCTTCCGACACTGCCCTAAAGTGTCCACCCCCCCCCCGTTAAAGACAGCTCGCGTGATCTTCAAGAACTGCATGTGTTATAGGAACATGCAAGTAACTTGCTTTCATTTGTATATAGACAAATGTTATAATCTGCGAAAAATTCAAAATAGCCTGACTTGAAGCTTTTAACGAAGTGAAAACCGCCACGCCTCTCTTCTCAAAATTTCAAAACCGCAGGTTCGTAAAGCAATGTAAAGCTCCTCAAAAACCTTGGAGGGCGTGTGGTCCCCCCTCCCCTTCCTTCGACCAAAAAAAGTGTCACTGAACACGAGGATATAGTTTTAGGCCATAAACGTAGGTTCGAACTTCTATGTCTAAAACCGCAGACAGTCAAGAGTCTCGATTTCTCCTGTTGCCACTAACTCAGAACTCCAATTAAGTGCTAAGCAATTCGCAAGAAGCGACTTACTTTATTAAGATCAATTTACCGGTACTTAGATCGTCAATATAACACAAACCTTCATTTTCCAAGCCAGAGTTCTGAAAGCCTAAAATTCAAGAATTAGAAAGAAGCATCGGTGTTCCGTGTTTTTCGCACATTACTTTTATCAAAAAGAGGAGATGGGTTTGCGAAAAGCATATCGACTGACACTAAAAGCAATAAACATGGAAGAACCTTCAAAAGAAACTCGCTACAAACTAGCACATACATTCAAATAAGAACACAAAAACGAAGAACGGAGTTGTGCATAAAAAAACCTATGATCATTGTTTGTCTCAGCACTGAAAGAGTGCACAAGGCACTTTTTACCTACCGTAATCAAAATTAGCCGTGGACGATAATGTCGACTGCAGAAACATGCGAAATTACGTCCAATCATTGAATTTGACGTGGGGAAATGTATTGCTTCATGATTTTGTGGTTTCTCTCTACTTTTTTGATTCGTGCGCATCATTGCGTTCAATTGCTGTTTATTCTGAATAGAGTGGAAGTGTCGCAAAGCACGATTCTTTGGGATGTGACCGTATTCTACGTCTTCCCCGATACGAGTCTCGCGAATGCCACAATGAAGATCGCGCTGTCGGGGACAGGGCATCAAATTTTGAGAAAGTTGTGTAAACGCGATCTTGTCACATTGTTCTTTATTGAGAAAGTTGTTGTAAACGCGATCTTGTTCTTTATTGAGTCTTGCACGTGTATCGCATACATAGTATTTTTCAGACCGGATACCTAACTGACTTTGACCAAAATGACAAATGACGAGCAATCTTGACGAAACGAGTCAGTATGATGATGTGATGATGCGATATGTACATAAAGGCAGCGTTTGAGGTTTGAATGCAACGGATCTCGATTCAAGGAAGTAACACAGTCCCGTCTCCAGGGCATTTTAAGTGATACGACAAAGACGCTGTAGGCCTAGCCTATTCTGTTATTATTGGTAACTTCAGAGAACGCCGATACACTGTAAACATTTCTCGATGACACGTATTACGGCGTATTAGAGCGCTTAGGATGCTAACAGTACCGACAATGATTTCGCTATGTGGTACTAGCTGGCTTACCCGGCTCCGCCGTATCCGGACCAAACTTGGCACACATACACTTCGGGCCCCGGCGGGTGTCACAGTCCACTTTTCGTTATCGATCGATGTCGATTTTACCGATTTTTATCGATTTTTTTGCAGAGTCCACCTACAGGGCTAGGAGTTGGCACAGGGGGGGGGGGAAGTGAGCATGGGGATTCCGAATACAACATTAGTTTTCAGGATCGTCCATTATTTTTATCGATTTTATCGATTTTTTTTTGTAAAGTTTGACCTGCGGGGCTGGGAGTTTGCACAGGGGGGTAATCGAGCATGCTGATTACGAACACAATATTAGTTTTCAGGATCGTCCATTACTTTTATCGAAATTATCGATTTTTTTTGTAAAGTTTGACCTGCGGGGCTGGGAGTTTGCACAGGGGGGTAATCGAGCATGCAGATTACGAACACAATATTAGTTTTCAGGATCGCCCATTACTTTTTCGATTTTATCGATTTTTTGAAAATTTCAGCTAGGGGGCTGGAATTTGGCACAGGAGTGTAATCGAGCATGCTGATCACCCCCCTTGGGGGTGATCAGCATGCTCGATTACCCCCCTGTGCCAACTCCCAGCCCCCTAGCTCAAACTTTGCAAAAAAATCGATAAAATCGATAAAAGTAATCGATAATCCTGAAAACCAATACAGTATTCGGAATCCCCATGCTCGATTACCCCCCTGTGCCAACTCCCAGCCCCGTAGGTGAACTCAGCAAAAAAATCGATAAAAATCGATAAAATCGATATCGATCGATGACGAAAAGTAGCCTATGACACCCGCCGGGGCCCGTAGTGTATGTGTGCCAAGTTTGGTCCGGATCGGTTCAGAAATGGAATTTTCTATTCGGAACATACGTACATACAGACAGACATACAGACAGACAGACAGACAAACAGACATTCAGCTTTATATATAAGATGACAGATGCCACTGCGGAAACATCAAAACGCAGATTTCGTAAGGCTCGATTCTATCTTTTTACAATGCTCAGACTATTTCATCTTCTTATAATATCAAGGATGTGCAGAATGAAGTGGGAAGGCAGAACAATAGTCTGTGCAGCTGCGCCTACACAAAGCAGAAGTACAGAATCAAATTTGATAGAAGATTATCTGCAAACTGCATCGAATATCGTTGAAGCATTTATATCTAGGAGCCAAGAAGTTGTTGGCAGAGACATCTGACGTATCTCCATTAAAGTTCTATAGCTGAGATCAAATAGGTAACTTCTTAGGGTCATTCGTTCATACTTATCATACATTGATGCAAAATGCTCTGTTGTCTTCCACGCTCTTTCATTTCCACAGTTTTCCATCTACATCCGCTTGGTGAAGGAAAGCAGGGAGTATTCCGTTGTAGATATCGGAGACTTATAGCAGTTTTTTTCTTGTTATATGACTCACATAAAATTAGACCTTAGCTGATAACCTCAAATTATTCATCTACTTAACAAGAAAGCATCTGTCGGACTTTGTTCCTGGCTGATTTATACTACCATTCCCGAGTATAACACACTGTTTCTTTTTCTGAGCTCGATAGCCTGAAAAATGTCGCGACCAATGGACTCGCTACCCTGATGATCCTCATTCGCGAGACTCGCGTCGGAGAAGACGTAGAATACGGTCACATCCCAAAGAATCGCGCTTTGCGACACTTCCACTCTATTCAGAATAAACAGCAATTGAACGCAATGATGCGCACGAATCAAAAAAGTAGAGAGAAACCACAAAATCATGAAGCAATACATTTCCCCACGTCAAATTCAATGATTGGACGTA